GCAATGTATTTACCATTTCTAAATAAAGTATAAAGTATAAAGTATAAGTATACTCCATAGTATATCAGATACAGATCGGCTGCTCATGTTTTATCTAGTACTTATAAAACTCATTAATAATTCATGAGGAAAATACAAAAGAAATGAATGTTTAATCAATGTTTACATAAACTTCAGCTTTGATTTTCTCGGCTTAGACAATGTTTATTTTTAAAATTACTTCGCCAATGAGCTCATAAGATTGGTCGTTTTATAAGCATGATAAAACATTCAACATCTAGTACTTATTAAGCCTGAAGTTTGTGTTATCACCCGAAGTTGATGGCTGATATTGAAAACAAAATTTGAGGGCTTGACAATTCTTTGTATCTGGCGAAAACCGAATTCAATAATTGTTTTATTATTTATTTAAAAGATGAAAAAAACATGCGCGTCTGTGGGTTGAACTCGTCGAAATAATGACAAGGTCTTTTCCCAAATCTTTCCTTTTTTCTGTCATAAGTACTTTATTCTTTAAAGCGTCATTGTCAACCACAACAACGACAACGTATCTGTTTACATCTTGCTTTCGTGACAAATAGCAACAAATGACGATTATAAACATTTCTTTGGTGCAATTTTAGCTAGTATAAAAAATTTAAAATGAGCAAGTATAACCACAGGATGGTAGTACTATATTATGGATTGAAAACCGAAACATCTATTATTCCGCCATTAAAACGGCCGCCAAGTAGGTTTGGGCGCACAATGCATTGTGGTCGACAATGACTCTTTAAGATAGATGCTTCAAAATTTTTCGTGGCTGTTTTCGTTTATATTTCTTGATTATATTTTTGAAGTTGTATTCTTCAACGGAGTGTTCGTTATTTATGGTTTGGGAGAGGTGGTGAAATCATAGGGAGGGGTTGTTGTTTGTTTTTGGGGTCACTAGAGGTTGAGGGGGGTCATGTAAGTTTTAGTTCTAGCAATGTTTTGACCTCTTTAAAATATGTTATTATAGAACATCAAAATTTTGAATTATTAAATGGCTGCGAGTTTACAGGAGCTTTTGCACTATTGCTAACGTCATAAAATAAAGACTTTTTAATCGTACATACAATGTTTCTACACTTGTACGGTATTTTATATAAAATGGGGGTGGGGTTCACTAACGTTTTTGGTCTTTTCTTGAGAGGGGGGGGGGGGGTCAGGCGAGTTTTGCTGTTGCCGGAAGGGGGTCATACAGATATGCCTCCCCCCCAAAAAAAAACCAACATAAATATTGAACACTCCCTGAAAATGCAATTTGCAGCGGCGCCAGATTGTTTTGGTCGTGTTTCCACATTTAGTATGCATGACGTCATAACGTTCAATATGATTTTTCATATTCAGCGTTATTGCGTCACTCCGTTGAATATCATTTTTTCATATGCAACGTTCTGGTGTCACTCCATTGAATATATTATGTAAAAACTCCATATTTCATCGGCTATTGCGTACATATGGAACATTTCACGTTGGCTGTTAGTCAATCAGAAACCATGAATTTTTTAAATAAATAATAAAATTCACTCCACCAATAGACCTTTCCCCTTATAACCAAAATTTTGATCTAGGCAAGTCTAGACAAATATTTCATCACAGCTTGAAAGAGCGTCACAAAATTAGTAATATTCCAAAGTTTCGTTGCGAAATGTTGTAAAATGCGGATAATATAGCCTTGCGAAATTTGCTATTTTCAGTCATTTTAGATTACAAACGGGAAATTGCAGCCCCAACACCCGAATCGTATGTCAATTTCCCGTTTGTAATACAAAATGACTGAAAAACGGCAAACTTCGCAAGGCTATATTATCTGCATTTTGCAAGATTTTGCAACAAAACTTTGGAATATTACTAATTTTGTGATGCTCTTTCAAGCTGTGATGAAATTTTTGTCTAGATCAAAATTTTAGTTATAAGGGGAAAGGTCCATAGGGACTGATTATGTAGACTGATGTACTGCTCGCATAAGACCTCCGTCGTCACAATTGAATAAACTGAACCTCTCACTTGGCTTTTATCTGGGCTCCTCTGCAAGCACCTCAATAAATGTTAACCTTATAGAATAAAAGAAGGAGGTATCTTTCAGTCTTTCATCTTTAATAATATTCAACTTAAAGATTGGTAATTGTTCTCCACATCTTTGTTGCTGTTTAACTCTTCACAACTTTGTCGCTAACTAAAGTATAAGCAGAGTCATCGTCTTTTGCCGTGTCATTACACGCGGTATTCACTCTCGATTCATAATTATCTTCCGCGTTCATTTTTGTCAGATCTAGCCCTTGGTAAGTTGCGTCATCTTGTGGCTCAGTGTTTGACTGAGATTTTGTACTTCTCAATTTACGACGATAACATGAGACAATGTAGGAAAGAAGAATTCCAATGATAATTCCAGAAATCAATGATACGACAACAATACACCATTTTGTTCCACTGCTGCTGACGTCATTTGCTTTGTCTAAATGCGGAAAAGGACACTGGTACAACATACTGTATATATCAAGGAACGCTGAAATCACTTGGAAGTTTGCTTGACAAAATTTCACTTGCGAATTCAGTATGAGCAAGAACGGAACAGAGCACTGCGAGAAAGTAGGAAATTTGGTGATTAACAGCGCAATATGTTATCAAGGAATATATAATCAAGGGCTATACTTGTAATCACTGGTGATTTCAAGATTCACAAGCAAAACATCAATTTCTCATTGTTATTAAAGGAATACCGAATGGTTTTTCGTGCATGATTGCGTGATCCATGCACGCGGGATGTTGCGAGACTTTCGGAAAGCGTGAAAATACACGAGCCGTAGGCGAGTGTATTTTTACGCTTTCCGAAAGTTGAGCAACATCCCAAGTGCATGGATCATGCTATCCTGCACGGGAAAACCATTTGGTAATTGTTTTATAAAATTACTACGGTGAAACGACGGTTAACTTGATTAAAATCACTGATGAAATGTGCAGTTCTCACAACAATCGTGAATTAACCAATCAGAGAATCGCTACTCCACGCTATTGAAAACAACAACAAATGTCAACAGAATTTGATCACAAATTCGCGAAAATATACAGCGAAAATACAGAGACTTTTTCGATAAAATATACGAAAATTGAAATGGAAAACCCGCTAAACAGAGAGCCAAAGTAGTTTTGAAGATTCTCGACCTGAATACTTGAAGATTGCGAAGCGTTTGAACTTTGAAGCGAGAGATGTTGTACTTGCCATGGTCTGATGAATTTCAACACTACACGTTGCTACTTGCTGAACAGCAATGTATCGATCAGAAATTTTTCTCTAAATGATCATTTGTCAATCCATATTCTTGAACGTTTTCTATAGGTAGTGAGCAATTTATGTAATGAAAAAAGATATTGAATAAGTTAAGTAAACAGGGATAACTTACCTGGAGCTCTTATCATTGTTGTAACATTGCCACTCCATTTTGTCGAGTAGTATGAGCCCTAAATGGAAGTATAATACTAGTTAAGTTATTTTATTTACTTCGCATTATCATCGGAGAAATGTACATGTATTACCCGAATAAGCCCCATCTCATACCTCACTTTCAAAAAATCTCAGGAACACGATATAAGTTGAATTTTGTTTGAGAGGTTGGTTAGAATATTTTTCTTTTTCAGAATTGTAGTCTTTGCCATCACCGATCACGAAAACCAAAGGCAAAACATCCGCTTTTAAATAAGCAGTGACATAAGGATCTTTCGTGTTCGCCTGGTATGGTTTGAGCTCGTTTGTTCTGAGATTTTCGCTTAGTACTGAACTGCTTTTGGCATTTTGAACGATGACCATCACTCCTCTAAATCATTAAACATTATGTCATAGCAACAAAAGAAAGTGTTATTACTTGAGAATAACATACAGAAGAAGTTAGTACAAAATAAGGATTTAAAAGTACGCCGAGAGAATTTGGCAGTTAGACAGATGCAGCAGTATTAATATAAGTACCGATCCGTCGAACCGAAATATATTAGGAGATAGCGCAGCTAGAGGAGTGGCTTACTCCTTAAATGTTCATTTTATAAGTATGCAAGAAAGACACATTTTGTACACACTGTTTTAATGATTAACGACTTTCGGTTGGTAATCAATGACCTACTACAACATGTGTTTAAGGATAGCTAAGATAAATGTTCTACAATGTGACAACCGAGACACAATTAACTCGACGCGGATAATGGTCTGAGGTTGAAGGATGTAGGATTCATGTGTTAGTTGTGTTATTTATCTTAGGATTAAAAAATTAATCTTATTAAGCTTATATAGTCGATCGAAGTCGATCCAGCGGAGTTGAGACTGCTCATTAAATTATATAAAGAACTGGCTTGGAGCTGAGTTGAACTTTTTCAATTGGTAAATGAAAAAGAATAAAAACTTATGTGTTCGTAGTGAGACTATAAGCAGCTGATGTCCGATTGTGTACTAAGCGCAACCGAGATGAATTCAGTGGTCGAAGCATGTACCGAAAATCCAAAAGTCAAAATTCTTGGCTAGGAACGATACTATATAGTCGGCGAACACATATAACATTGAGGTGAGAAGTGACTCCCCGCATTGCAAATCAATGCAAGGATCTTATTGCATGTGACTGTCCATCGGTGTGCATTATTAGCTGCCGATTTAGAAGGGGTAATGCTTGAGACGATTATGGAAAATTATATTAAAGCTAACGCCATTAACCCCGCCACTAACACCGGGAAGATGAAGTAAATCGGCTTATTATACAGGACTTTTCTAGTGAGAGGGAGAAATGTAAACGCCCGGAAGCTGATCTGTCCATTTTAATCGAAGGAAGAACTTGTGAGGTGCGCTAAACTATTGTTCTACCGATAATAAATTGAGATTTTGCAATAATTATCACCAAAATTATTGCCATTAGATAGCGAAGAGTCGTTCTAAACACTTTATATGAAGCCATTAGTGCCAACACATAACAAAACGAACTTGTAAATAATTTGAGTTTCGGATTGACATAAAACCTACATACTATATCAATGACAGAATGCAACATTATATAGGCCTACAACACGAAACTTTTTTAACTCTCATCAGTCACTGACTTCTAATATTCTTATAAATCGCATGTTATTGCATCACTCTAGTTATACAGGAATTTATAGTTGTAAAACGATTGTGACTTCTATACTTTCAATATTCTTAGTATCGTACAGATGTAAAAAATATCTTAGTATCGTACAGTTGTAAGACCAGTGCGATTAGTTCTAACTGCAATATTGGTTGTTAATAAAACGATTATTATCATAACTCTTAGCCACTGAATAAAACTATCGTTATAAATTAGTATATATTTTTATACTGAATAGAATGGTGGTTATTAATGAAACATCCGTAGATCGTGCACGTTCTACGCGTAATTGACCCTGCTGAGAAAGAGTTTTAAATTAAAATTGTATCGCTGCATGGAAATTATGGAAAACCTACCTGGTATAATCTCCTCGTTTGGGTATGTTTAAGGTCAGAGTGTGAAAGGACGTTGTGAGTGGATTCACTGGCTCTAAAGGAAAAAAATTACTAAATCATTCCGGATGAACAGTAAATTGAATGAATGTATTGCCAGACGACTGGACGACCGGCAAAGGAAAAAAAAGCAATATGGCAATACCACTAACGTGTCCAGCATATTTATTTATTTATTTATTTATTTATATATGATTGGATGAGTAGCAAAATATCTGCTAAGACAGACGACCATTTTTTGTGACACAATAGCATGAAATTATACTTAGCCTTAGGCCAATATGACCACTCTTGTTGAGCTAGTGGTTTTCAAATTACACGGCAGTATTCATATTGGGTAAATATATACCTCCCTTTTAAAGGTGTGCGAATCCGATCAGAGTCCGAATCCGATCCAATCCGATCGGATTCGGATCGGGACAGTTATTCACTCCGATCGGATTTCATTTTTTTGTTGTCGGATCGCATCGGTTTTTGTAGGTTTTTTGTCGGATCGGATTTGTTTTTTCTTGTATCGCGTCGAATTATTCGAAAATTTTAACAAATTAAGATAGTTCTATATGGCAGGAAGTGCCTGGAAGGCTTTGGAGCCGAGTAAGCAGAGTGATTTGGTCGAATTATGCCGAGTGCCGACAATAAAGCCGATAAAAAGTGTTTTGGGTTATTTTAACATATATTTTTGACAAAAGAAACACTGGCGTTATGTGGATTCTTCTCATAGTTACGTATGAGAATTGAGATATAGGAATGTTGTGATTCTTTGTTTAGTTTGTTAGGTTTATGTGTCATATGAAACACTGACAATGAGATTTATTAGTGATAAACTTTAAGATGTTTTAAATTGTAAACCCAGCTCAAGCTCATGCATTGTTATAAAAGGCATAAGTTAGCCTATGTGATATCGCCCTGCAATTTTAATCGGATTCGTATCTGTTTATTTTGGTCTTGTCTAAAAGTACACACGAGTGACCACGAATGACCACGAGTGACCACGAGTGATTTCTGTGTTTAAAAGTCATAAAATAATAGTAAAAAACTATTTTAAGGTGGCTCTCTATCCATAGGGTTTTTGCATTATACTACACTTTTGTATCCAGAAAACTCCTGTTTCTTCACTTTACATGACACGAAGACGAAATTTATTGGACACATTGACAATGCTCTCCTGAACATTGCAATTTACTACTTTTGCGCTGAATGTCCGTTACCATGGTGACAGCGTGCTTAGGATAATTAAGAGCAGATGTCTGTAAGAATCGAGATTCTCGCGACAGTTAAAATCCCCGAAATTCTGTTTATTTCACCAAAACATTCTCTTTAGGGAACTGTTTCAGAAACTTATATTTAAAAGCCCTGGAGAATTTTTTGTTTTGTTAGATTTACAAAATTTTCCAAAATCCGTTTGACTGGCGTGTTTTCAGCTATTTATGGAAGTCTATTAATATCAAACTTCAACGCGCTCGTTTACTCGTAGTAAGAAAGGAACAAAATTGATATTAAATTCAGTTAATAAACAACTCAAAAAGCTGACTTTTAACTAATATTTATTTCTGTTTGATGTATGTTTACTTTGTTTTGGGGCATTTTCTACGATAGACTTTTGACAGCATATGAACACGTGTAAACAATGCTAATATTCAGAAAGCCAAAACTTTTTCTGGTATATGTGTTTCGGACACAAAGCTTGCACTATTCTAAAGTTTGGTTATCATTTTATAAACATGAGAAGTTTTCCGCTTGGGAAATTTAAAGAACGTACCCTCTGAATAAAAATTTCAAGATGACCCATTTGTTACACTTTCCGATACGAATTCAATAATCGCTTCTCCAATAAACAATATATTCCTCCCATGATTTTGGTAACAAACTCCTTGTAACAGTATTAAAGGATACCTTACCCTCTAGTATTGCAATATGATTGTAAGAATAGTGGTTACAGTGATTTTTTCAGTTTTGACCTCATGCGTGGACATTATCGGCATGCATGATTAATTATGCTAAATCGGGTTTTTCATTACTTGAAATGTTGTGGATGACAAAAGAATATCGATTAAAATAGATGTCGGTTATAAACCGTACAAGAATCTGAACCAAGTCTATCTATTTTGTAAATTGTATGATTACAAGTGTCACGCAACACTATAAGTTAAGTGAAGTCATGTTTATGTAGGGCAATAAATTGTAATGACTTTTTGCAATACCTCATATTTCATTTCGGTTTCTATCGGAAGATCAAATAATTATGGACGACATCAATTAACATTATTAACAGATATAGGGATTATATGCAGTCTGCGTGAAGCTCGTTTATCATTTGAAAATTTACCTTTTCAATGTGCTGACAGCTTCGTTTAGTAAAGTCATATATAGTGCCTTTCGTCGCATTCGTTTCTTTGGTACGTCTAGCTGTAGACATTCGCACATTTCTTGCAACAATCCAAGCTTCAACTTTTGTAGCGAATCCTCTGAAAACATCATACAAATATTGTACTGGTTGAACTCAATAGGATGCTGCAATTGGATGTTAGAACATGCAGCCTCTCGTAATGAACAGAAATTGGCTTCTTCGTCAGCTGCAACGGTGTCTTCAGACACAACATCACATTGTTGTCTGACCTTTGCAGCATGACGTGAGAAATACGACTTCACTTGTTGTGGCGACAAGAATTCACTGACATTGAAGAGGCGTTTCCCGTATGAATCAAGAGCTTTTCTCATTTGTGATGAAACAACATTTGGATCCATTTTCCTGCCAGTTTCTTGACCGATGTTAAATTTTGCTTGCAAATACTGCTTCTGTTTTTCATTGAAGTGGTATGACTTCTTGTTTGCCTTCAGGGCCCAACCTTCAGATACAATAGGGGAAGCAGAAGATGTAGCTGTCACTGTTGGATTTAGAGTGGGTATGACGCCAGCTCCCTCTTCCAAATATTCTTTATAACCAAGTTTTTCATGGTCAAGTAGCGATAACCTTTCCAGTTTCTGTTCGCACTTCTCCAAGGAAAGATGCTTCTCTAATGCAAAAAGCCCCTGAAAGACCCGTACTCAACCATCATGTGGGCAGGAGTAAAACCCGGAAGCGGAACTGGTATTGATCTGATCTTCTTCTTGTTCTTGTACTAGTGGTTCTTCTTCGTCTGCGTTTTCTGGTTTGTTTGTTGCAGCACCACCAGGTTTCTTTCCTTCAATTCGTTTAAATCTTCCTGGAGTAAAAGTGGACTCCAGCCAATTATATTATAGTTAGAATCTGTAATAAATATCGGATCAATATCAGAACTGTTCTGCTAGATAAACGTGTTTTATTAAAAAACTAACCTTCCAAGGGGTTCACCGGCTCTACTTCTTTGCTCTTTCCAATACCATATATGACCGCCATGCTGTTATGCTTTCGCCATCAAATTGAAAGTTGTTTAACTTGTTGATGTTCTTTGGTCGCTGGATGAACTGTGGATAGTTTGCATTGCTCCCGCTCGAACTCCTTGTATTCCACCACTAGACTGGAGGGCATCCTTCATGTTTTCTGCCGTCACGACATCGTGACCTTCATTTATGTAGGCTCTAATGCATGTGTGTCCCTTGTAGGTGGCTGCTAATCTATCCGCTGCACCTTTGCCGCCTTGCGGATCACTGGAGTCGATGTGGACTCAGTAGCGTAGCTAGCGGTCATGCTGGTCATGCTGAGCATGACTAAAAATTTCCCCAAAAATAATTAAATAAAGAATTTCTTTCTGCTAAAATTCAAATTCAAATCTTTCAGCTTTCCGAAACTTTCACAGGTACTTTAGACGAGATTTTCGCTATATTATGTCATTTTCGGCAAAATATTGCTCATTTGCATAGGTTACCTAGCAACAAACATGGCGAGTTCGTGTGAATTTCGTGTGTTTTCGTGGTTTGGTCATGCCCTCTGAAATCAGCATGACCAAGTAATATATTTTATAGTAGAAATACTGGCAATCTGATTGGATAATGGCAACTGCGCATGCTCAAACGCGCTGTTTCGCAACATCTAGTCATGCTAATTTTCCAGAGCATGACTTGAGCCTTTGAATCTTTGATACAGTCTTTCTGTTCGAGATAATTCACGCTCAAATACTCCGTTCAAGGTAAGTGATTTCACGTTGTATTAATTTGCATTATAATGGCTTCAGGAAGCGTGACGGCTTCCACAGAAGCAGATATTATAAGTGATTTGCTGAAGAAACCTTTCTCTACTCGTCAACCGGGCGAGCAAAATATAATTGTAACGCAACGGCCAATGCCGAATTTACAATCGACCACTGGAGATAGAAGCTTTCAGGTGAGTTGGTACACAAAGAAAGATTGGCTTTGTGGCAGTTTAACCAAGAAGGCAATGTTTTGCTGGCCATGTCTTTTATTTTGTCCTGGAACTTCATCATCATGGACGAAGACTGGCTTCAGAAATATGAAGGGCTTTCTGTCAGATTGCAAAAAGCATGAGAGGGCAAGATTCCACATGGCTGCTTACAAGACCTGGAAAACCTATGGTTCTGGACCTCGTGTGGACTCTCTCATCTCACAAGCCAGACGTGACGAGATTCAGCGTCATAATGAGGAGGTAAGGCAAAATAGAGAAATGTTAAAAAATCTAACACAAGCTGTTCTATATTTGTCTAGGCAAGAGCTTGCATTTAGAGGTCATGATGAATCTAACGATAGCTTGAACAGAGGGAATTACAGGGAATTGCTTGAACGTTTTGCCAGAATGGATTCTGTTTTTGAAAGGCAGTTACATGGTAGGCTTGCCGAACCGAGCTTGAGAGGGGGTGGGCGGTTTACTGGAGTTTCCCCTGATATTCAAAATTATTTGATTAATTGTCTTGATATGATAATAGAGGATTATATTTTAAAGGAAATAGATAATTGCACTTTTTGGAGTATACAGGTTGATGAGGCGACTGATGTATCCACCAAAGAGCAGTTGAGTATGATCATTCGTCTGGATAAAGGGAGTGATATTATAGAAAGGCAACTTGGGTTTGTAGATGTTAGTTCTGACAGAACTGCAACTGCTTTATCTGCAGTTATTAAAGGTAAGTTCATTCAGCATGAAAATGTCATGGATAAGCTTATTGGACAAACTTATGCTGGTGCCTCTGTAATGTCGGGTCATCTCAATGGTGTTCAAGCTCAAATACAACGGGAGTATCCTTTTGCCCATTTTGTTCATTGTGCAGCTCATAGGCTGAATCTTGTATTGTGTCAAGCTGCATCCTCTATTGCACCTGTGAAGATATTTTTTATTAACATAGGTGCTTTTTGTACTTTTACTAGCAATGCTCCAAGGAGGAAAGCATTTCTGTCTTCCCATAACCTTGAGTTTCCCAGTCCTGGTGATACACGATGGTACTATAGAGCTCGTGTCATCAATGTTTTGTATAATAATTATGACAACTTATAGAAATATTTGAAAATATTGTTGACAATCCAACAGGGTGGGATGATGAAACACTGAATAAGATGACTGGTTTACTTGGTTACCTTAATGGATTTTTGTTTTGTTTTTTTGGTGTTAATTTTTCACAAGATTTTAGAGCAGTCATCTATACTTTATTCTATCTTGCAAGACAAAAAGACTGATTTTCAATATGGGATGACCAGAGTTGAGAGATTCAAGACATTTGTTACTTCTCTGAGAACAGATGCCAAATATTCTGAGTTTTATGACAAAGCTGTTGAGAAAGTGGACCCTCCAGTGACCAAGTATGACCTAAAGCATAATTATAAAAAAAATTTTTTTGGAAATTCTTGATTCCATTGTAGGCATGCTGACTGAGCGTTTTCACGATATGGAGCGTTTTAGGTTTTTAGATCTTGTGAACCCAAGGGTATTTAAGACTTGGAATGGTGAAGTGCCCTCAGAAAAACTGGATCTTCTCAAGGAAATGTATGGTGATTTATTTGACATACCAATGCTAGTCAGCCAACTTTGTTTTATTTACAGAGATAAGGACGTTCATAAAGATTCTTGTGGAGAGTTATTAAAATATATTTTTCAGTTCCATCTGCAATCTAGCATTCCTGAAGTAGTAAAGTTGCTGAAGATGAATGGTGTTATATCAGTCACTAGTGCTTCTGTTGAAAGATCATTTTCCTGTTTGAAGAGGGTAAAAAGTTATTTGAGAAATACCATGAGTCAAGGCTGTCTTAGTTCTCTTTGCAGGATTTCCATACACAAAGACATATTGTCAGAAAAAGAAGATGCAGGTACCTTGCATGAAGAGGTGGTAAAGAGGTTTGTTGAAAAACCAAGGAGACTTGCTTTCCTATATAAGTAATGGTATATATAATATAGTTTGGTACCTCATATTATCCCACTAAAGAGCAAGACTCTTCCCTTGACGAGTAAAACCATCTGGCTTTAGACGGAGTAAAAGAATAAAATTGGGTGCATTGCTGCTTAATGGGTTAATATACATGTTTGACAGTATGATTTCAGTTTTGTCACCTTTAATTTACAGCTTAAAATTACTTGCATATCAGGGAATATTAGATTTATAGGAGAAATATCCACATGAAGGTGGTTACCCCCAAATATAATTTCATATCTTTCTTTTACTATAAGTCATATTATTTAGTATAAATGACCAGAGTTATAGGGGAAATACCACTCAAAGTCTCAAATGTGGTGAGTCCATGATATAACTGTTCCTGGGGAGATATCCACTTGAATGTGGTGACCCCAAATATAATTTCATATCTTTCTTTTACTATAAGTCATATTATTTAGTATAAATGACCAGAGTTATAGGGGAAATACCACTCAAATGTGGTGAGTCCATGATATAACTCTTCCTGGGGAGATACCCACTTGAATGTGGTGACCCCAAATATAATTTCATGTCTTTCTTTTACTATAAGTCATATTATTTAATATAAATGACCAGAGTTATAGGGGAAATATCCACTCAAATGTAGTGACTCATGATATAACTTTTCCTGGTTGAACATAATTTCCATGTTATTATTTAACTATTTCTATGACTATGTTAATTAGACTTATACAGAAAATTGCACCAGTCTTCACCTCACCACCGTCACCGGTGCAGAAAGTTTGTCTCGCATTTACATATTAGTCATTTAGTCTATGGCTTATTGTATGTTTTTATGTACTTCTTTTTCGTTGGCAATGTTGATTGTCTTTCTAGTGCAGAATAACTTTTTTATTATTGTTTGCAGTTTGCACCCAATCTGAGCCTGCGAGTGAAGTTATAAAAAATTAAACTCGTTTGAGTTATTTGTAATGTAATTAGTAATGCTGTTCATGCCGAAATAAAATAATTATTACACATGCATTGTTTTTATCGTGTTTTCCTGAACTGGTTTCTCTTTTTGTATTGAGTTTATTATGAATTTCCGTAAGTTTTGCAGCCCAGAACGCAGAAAATTAAGTTCGAGTGACGTTAAAATAACCCAAATGTTTTGTATAAATATGAATAGATAAGTGTCTGAAAAGGCCGTTTCCGACGATCTAGAGGCCCTAATTTTCTCGCTCGGCGCCAAAGATGGTGGCGCATCGTGAGACTGGTAACCAGCAAATACTAATGGCATGACCAAACTTTTTTCCTAGCTACGCTACTGTGTGGACTATCTTCATCCCGACAGATTTTGCTATTGCTAGCAGCTAAGAATGGTGTGTGCCGAGTGGTAGTAGCCTGCATTATCCTGACGGAAGTAGACATTTGTAGAGAATGTTCCCTCCGCTGAACAGATGTTCTCCACAATCACAATGAATCACAATAAACACGCGTATAAAACGTATATAAATCTCTTCGTATTTCTCGCAGTCTCACAATAATACGCCCTGTTTTCACATGCACTATAAAAACCTATATTGTTTACTTTTTTCCAAATGTCAATCATTACGCTAAAACTAATAGATGACCATATTAGGCAATGTTGTTCTCAGTATTCATCTACTTTATATAAAGTTATTAATCAACTAATCCCAAATATAGCGAAATTAATGTACTAAAGTGTCAAACTTCATAACACACTCCCCCATGTATGTTCTCGGAGAGATATACATGCCTACTACATGACACTTTTATCTATGAATCGTTCAAATCGATAAAGTTAATAATTGTTCTTTCCTTGAATTCAGTTGTTTTCCTGCTCGTTCACCGCCACTTGTTGGATACGTAGACGAGCTGCTGCTGCCGCTCCTCTCTTTGCTCTTGGTTCGAATGTCTCCGCGGTTGGATTTAGTGGCGTTGTTGTATCACATGACAATTCGAGCGGGAATAACTGTTGGATCGCTCTTTCGAGACTTCCCTTCGCAGTCTTCAGCCTTGTTCCTCTTACGACATCGTCTCTTCCAACAATAAGGTCCGTCACTATCGCCAATCTCCAATGGTTTCTGTTCTTCTGCTCGTCCTTTATGATCACTGCCTCCCCGACTTGTGGGTGTGTTGTTTGTTCGTTACTGGTCGCTCGACGATGTTGTTCTCGCAGTCCTCGTATATACTCCCTACTCCATCGCTTCCACATCGCTTCTTTACACTGTTTGAGAAACCTAGCTCTTCTTCGGAGATCTCCATCTTCGATGTGGTGGGGGTCCAGTTCTGGGACGTTGTTATTGTTCAGGAAAATCATTGAATATGGTGTTAATACAGGCAGTTCTACGTCATCCTCGACATAACTCAATGGTCGGTTGTTAAGAGCCGTTTAGAAGTCGATCACCACTTCTTCCAGTTCATCCCTTATTCTCTTAAAATGATGTTTCTTCTTTCTACGATGCAATTTCGCTTTCTTTGCAGCTTTCCTTCCCTTCTTTTTACCATGTAGCTTGCGATGCTTGTGCACGATTCCATGTTTGGCTTCGCCTTTCTTGTGCACAATTCCATGTTTGGCTTCGCCTTTCTTGTGCACGATTCCATGTTTGGCTTCGTCTTCCTTGTGCACGGTTGCATATTTCCCTTGCCCTTTCTTTGTTTCGGTTTGGTCACACTGTGTTTTCTATTCGGCTTTGCTACTTTGTGCTTGACGAATACCTTTGATGTGTCGATCTGAGGGAAGGTGCCAAATTTAAGTTTGACTTGCACCTCCTTCAAGACATCAGCTTTAAACTGTTTAGTAGACGGTGAATCTTTTATGGCTTCCAACTCTTGCGTAACCAAATCTTTGTAGCTATACGCGGGCACGCCAACCGGGCTTTTTCCCTTAGACTTCACGCCAGAAGCGGGCTTAAAATTAGCTGCGGGTTTGGGTTGGTCTTCCACTTGTTGTTTTCCGTCCTTCAAGTTTGGTTTTAGCGGGGCACTTTCTTCGATGGGTTTTTGCTTGTCTTTTGTATCCAAGTTCTCAGCAGCGAAGTTTTGTTGTTGACCGTTGGTGGGGTTTAGTTGTTGAGGATTTTGAGAATTTTGCTCAGATTTTTCAGGGTTTGAATCCTTTATGGGTTTATTTTCACCGTTGTTTGCTTGCTGAGCAGTAAAGGTCAGCTCAGGTGCCTGATTGTTCGCCTGGTAGTTGGGTTGAGTGTCTTGCGCAGGTGGAACATTTGATGCGGGTTGAGGTTCTTTGTCAGAATTTGGTTGCTTTGGAAGGTTCTCGGGTTGCGAGTTATCTTGAGATTTATCAGGTGTAGACTCTTTTGCGGGTTTCTTATCGTCCGTCTTTAGCTACCGTTTCTGTGCGGCTTCTGCTTGTTTCTCTTTGAAATCTTGATAGACCATCTCTTGATAATTTTCTCCGCTGTCTGCAATCCCTAGCACGTTCAGACGACAGAGGTTCTCGTAGTCACTCTGAGAGGTTTGTGTCATCAGAACAGTGGTTTTGTCAAAATAACCCCCCGGGCTCATCACGAACCACCCAAGTTTGTTCAATACAGCTACTGGGTCACCGTCCTCACCGACAAGTGGTACAGTTCCGGTTTTAATTCGAGCGTATTCTCCACTTCCCAATATCATGTGAATCGGGAGTTGCTGTTTGATCTCGACTTGTTTCAGGTGCTGATGCTTTCGTGTCAACTGTTCATATCTTGGGTTATCAATCCTCAACAGTTCACCCTTGTTGACTTTTGTCACCCGTACTTCCATTTCGTAACTGTCATCCACGGACCCGATCACCACGTCATATGACTTAATTCTTGTAACTCGCGAGCTCATCAGCATGTTGATACGCTGGATCTTCGTCGCACTTGGTTTCTTTTTCAGGAGATTGATGAGCTTCGCCGACGCGCATGAACTGCCAGCCCCGGAGTCGACAAGAACGCGACAGGTGATTCCATCAACCTTTACGACCACAACGGGAAATATTGCATCACCACTTTTACCATCTGTCATCAATTTCCCATTTTTCACGTTCCCATCTTGAGCTTGTCCGCACAACGAGGTGTGATGGCGTCTCTTACAGTATTGACATGAAGTCTTGCTTGGATATTCCGCGGCGCGGTGATTTCTCGTAGCACAGTTAAAACATAATCCTTTCTGCGCCAGAGTTCTTTTCCTCTCGGTGATATCCGTTACTTTGTTACATTCAATAGCTTTATGGTTTTCATCTCCGCAGTAAACACAGCCCTTAACCTTGAAATCGCCGCCTCTTGCCTGGAACAATCTATTGTGGAGGTCCCGTTTCCGTTTGTTTTCCTCGTGCTCTCGTTCAGCGTTCTTGTCAGCTGGATTTCTTCTTACCCATTGTCGTAGCGCTTCAGTTAGCTTGAGGAAATCCCAGGTTTCCCAATCGGGATCTGTGCGTACCAAATCTCCTCTAATTGCCGGAAGTTTGTCGAGGGTCATCGTACCCTGGTTGCCAGAGGTTCTGTATCTTTCGCCTTATTCTCGCTCGTATTTATTTTACGCGAGGCGAAGACGCCGAAGAGAACCTCTGGTGGCACGCGATACAAATCTCTCTTCCATGCTGACGTTGCCGTTTGAGAACTTGCAAAACCGGTTTTATATTTTGTTACGTTTTTAAACTTCCGGGTTTGTCATACTACCAAAATAGCTCTCTTCAGACCGTTTGCAGTGTTTGGGCAGCCTTGTGTAAAATATTAAAAATAAGCAGACCAAACATGTAGATTATTCATTAGAAACATGTAGAATGTGGAATGCCGTTTGTATTAGTGAACATATAAAGTCAAAAGTGCAAGAATATAAATATATAAATATATAAATATTTAGTATGTGTGTGCAACGGAGCCAGTATGGTTGTCCTTAACAGACAACGGGAAAATATTGGCAAAATAAATCATATTAATAACTATTAAAGTCAAAGAATTATCAAAATTTAAAACCTTGAACGATATAAAGCAAGTGACTACGATATAAAGCAAGTGACTAACACTATATTTTACAAATATTAATACTGTAATAGAGTGAACATGTCATGCCGTCAACTCAAGTCATGACGCGATGGAAGCTCTTCTCCAGTGCAGAAAATCTTTTTATAGCGGAACAAACTAAGTCTAAGTTAATCTCAAATAACCCACACTAAGTAAATCATTTTAATACGTTCGTATTATTTTTGTATTTTGTTTACATCATGTTCTCTGAGATTTATGAACAGGTTTTTTTGTCTAGCAATCACATCACGTCATGTGACTGCTAATTATAACTAACCAATCATGTGCTTGATACAAATTTTGTACCAAAGGAAGAGAGATTTGTATCGCGTGCCACCAGAGGTTCTCTTCGCCTCGCGTAAAATAAATACGAGCGAGAGGCGAAAGATACAGAACCTCTGGCAACCAGGGTAGGGTCATCGAGACATTTCCAGAAACTTGATCCAATCTTTTCATGGTCTTCAGTGCTTGCACCGAATAAGATAATTTTTCATAAAATTCGCCAATCTTCTTTGGACTTGGACTTGTTATGTGGGGCAGTTCCAATATCTCCTTCACGTATGCTTTCTCGATTTCCGATTCTTTCCCGAACCTGTCTTTTAATATGGATTTTGCTCTGTTATATCCCTCGGGAGTGAACGGAAGGGCTTCGACTACACGTTTCACACTGGGCTCAAGTAATTCACACAAATACGTAAACTTGCTGATAGGGGCTATGGTACTCTTGTCTACAGCTTCGGAAAACTGTCCCCAAAATCTGGGCCAATCCATATAAGATCCGTTAAATTTTGAGATCATCAACTTTGGAAGCTTTGCGGTTTTCTCAGACACTGTGATTGTAGTCGTATTAGACGTGTCTGGCGATGAATTTGTTGTCAATTCTGTTTGTAACTTCAACTTTGTTTCGTGTAGCTTTAGTTCGAATTTCAGCTGTTCTTCTTGTGCAGAAAATTTCTCATGTTTCTCCTTGTTGTTGAGCCACACTTCAAGACGACTTATTTCGATATCGGCTTTATTTAATTTCTCGTCAATTTCGTCATGCCATTTGTTTATCTTGGATAAATTTTCCTTATTTGCGATTTTCTTGTGTTCTACGCCTCGTTTACATTCGTCAGTTTCACGTGAAATCGCTTTCAATTTCAATGCTTCTAGGTGCCGTTTGATTTGTTCTCGTCGTGCAGAAGTCAACACAAACTCTGTTCTCTGGACCGTAATTTCAAGCCGCGTTAGCTTCGTATCTAGCGCCTCAGACTCCATCTCGTTTGACTTAAAAAATACAGCGGTTTGTATTTGATTTTATCGAGTTAAAACTTACCCGATCCGGTCGGAAGGTGCCACGTGTAGAGACTGTTCCCTCCGCTGAACAGATGTTCTCCACAATCACAATGAATCACAATAAACACGCGTATAAAACGTATATAAATCTACGGAAGCCGTGAAGGGACTTCAGACTTCAGACTTCGGACTTCAGACTTCAGACTTCAAACATTGGTACCGAGCTTCGCTAATAGCCAACAACGCTTAATCTGCAAAGCTGGCTAATATTTAAGGCACATATTCAGTCAAAGCTATTCAATTGCAAACTAAAGTCAAAAATGGTCAGAATGATTTAGCAGTGGAATGTGTCAGTGAGTTCTGAAAGTTCTTTGCAGGTTTATAAAGGCAGAACGATAAACCATATAATACTATTGTTTGTAAAAACACCACATAAATTTATTACTGCAGTAAATTTATTAACTTTATTCTGTAAATTTATCAAGTTAAGTATAACACGCGCTCAAAACTAATGCGTATAATATACCACTTGAGGTTATGACAAAATTTTTATTTTTCGAAACGTTTCTCAATCGGCAACAAACTTAAAAAGTATGTTTAGTGCTTTATCTGTAAAATAATGCTAAATTGAAAAGATTTTAGACTACGCCAAAGCGAAAATTATGTATGAAGTTCAGTAAGTTTGCTTATATTGCTCGGCTTAAATATGGCGTCAATTTTAAAGCATCATTGATAATTGTATTTTAATTGACAATTTTTAACTATGATTTTATGTTTCTCAACCGGCAGATGCATTTAAAAAGGTAGCTAACTGTATAAACTATGTCGAGAATGACGTAATGTTAGTCTAATTATGGACGCGTGAGAATCGCGCGAGACGCGTGTGGTTTTTCCTGGAAGAACGCATGCTTTTCCTGGGATTGTATAATATTAACAAGGAACACAAAGTCTACTTTATGTCGAAGTTTAAGTGAGAATTAAAGAAGTTTTAACCCTTTTATCGAGTGATTCTAACTATTCACAACACGTGGCACCTCCACACGGGATATGTGAGCGAAAAACCCCAGAAAATAACAGATAAAATGGAAAAAAAGAGCGATAATTTTATAGACACCGAGCGACAGCTATTAAAACTCACACGAAGCAAAACGAAAGCGATTCTAGAGAAGGGAAATCTTGACAAAATCATTCGACATAAAGAAGCGTTGGGGAAAATTGTGAAAGAATTAGAAGAGCTTAAAATACAAGGCGAAAAGGACAAACTACAAGAGGGGGAAGCGATCGAAGATGTTCAAAAATGGGGAGTCGATATCGAAGGCGAGATTGACGAGACGGATTGCGAAATATCACACTTAAATCAATATTTAACAGAAGCCGAGGCGAGGACTGAGAACGAGAAACGTGAAAAGGAGAAAATATTGCTAAAACAACAACGGGACGAAGAACTGTATTTCGAAAAATGTAAATTGGAACAAATGGCTAGCTTGGGTTCGGTTAGTGTCAAGTCAACAAAGCCAGAACAAGCAAAGGTGAGCAGTGTTAAAATGCCTAAGTTAGTAATAACAAAGTATGATGGTACATATGAAAGATGGCTGTCTTTCTGGAATAAATTTGAAGCTGAAATAGACAATACAGACCTCCCAGCTGTAACCAAGTTCTCTTACCTAAAGGAACTGTTAGAGCCCCATGTGTGTGACGAGATTGATGGGCTACCCTTTACAATGGAGGGGTACACCGTGCTAAAAACATTTTGAAAACTAATCATGGGAATACAAGTGAAATTGTTAGGGCATATGTAAAAAACATTCAAGAGTTGCCTACAATAACTGGCAGGAAAGTAAACAAGATACATGAATTTATTAAGAACCTGAGCTACAATGTACAATCGTTAGAAACATTGGGTAAACTATCGCAGAGTTTGTCAATGGTACGGGGTGTTATAGAGAAATTACCTGGTATTAAGGCAGAGTTGGTCACTAATCAGGTTGGATGGCAAGATTGGGGATTTGCTGATTTGTTAAAAGCTCTGGAAAATTGGAAAGCAATACACCCGGTGGAAAGTTCAAGCGAACATAACCCTAGGACCCCCTACAACCGCAACCATTCGTTCTTCTCCAAAGATTCCTCAACACCAAAGGGTTGTGTTTACTGTGATGATGAACAGCACAAGTCGTATGAATGTAAGAAGGTTGCTACACCAACTGAGCGTAAACGAAAGCTACAAGCAAAGAAGTTATGTTTTAATTGTACAGGTGGCTGACACCATGCAGCACAGTGTCGAAGTCGAGTTACCTCTTTTCACTGCAAGAAAAAACATCATTCGTCAATTTGTGACACTTTAGAGAAACCTCCACCTAACCAAATTCCAGGACAAGCAGCTATGACAGCAACACACGAAGAGCACAAGGTTTGTCACCACATTGTTATTGTCAAAGCAAATGGCATTACCTGTAGAGCACTACTGGACACAGGAGCTACAACATCGTATGCGTCTGCATATCTTCTCTCAGCCTAATGAAGATCAATCCATCTAATACCTTGACACGGTGTATTCAAACCATCACAGGGACAGTAACGAAGCATGTTGAAATCTACAATCTTGAAGTTAGCAACACAGAAGGAAACTTTGTTATCCCAGTGAATGTAACAAAAGTTGACCGCAGAAATCTCTTGTCAGTTGTGAATCTAAATTACCCAGAGTTGATTAGTCGGTTCCAACACCTACAAGGCGTGAATATGGTGGAAACGGATACCAAATCAGTCCTTCCAGTACACCTCATATTGGGGGCAGCAGAATATTCAAGGATCAAGACTAGTGAACCACAAAAGAACCGGTGAAATGGGAGACCCTGTGGCAGAGTTCACTCAGTTTGGCTGGTCGATTATGTCGCAAGGAGTTCAGCCCAATTTAGATAATATGTTTCTTGCTCAAACTGCTCAATCTGATTATGAGGAACTTTGTCGCATGGATGTTCTCGGTATTCAAGACACACCACTTGGAGACCAGAAAGTTGTGCATAAAGAGTTTTTGGAACAGCTTCGGCGTGATCCTGTACATGTGTGGTATGAGACTGGCCTCCCTTGGAAGGGAGGCCATCCGCCTTTGCCCTCAAATGAGGAGAACAGTTTGAAACGTTTGGGGACCTTGGTGCAGCGATTGAAGAAAACTGACAAATTCGATGAATACAATTCAATTATTCAAGACCAACTGAAACAGACCTTCCAACTTTGTGGCATGAAAATGAGTGAGATTTAGTTATTTCCTGTAATCTGAGTCATATAGCCCGCCGATGGCGGGCTGGCACCTGCTGTTGGCAGGCGTTGACCTAGGGGGGTTCGGGGGCATGCTCCCCCGCAAAATTTTTAAGTCTGGAATCTCTGAAATGCCATTTCCTGCATTTTGGGAGAAGATTAACAGAATTCTAAAGGTATAAAAATGGCATTAAAAAATCTCAAAAGTAACACTTTTTGGACATCTGCATGCAATTATAAGTTTCATTTATTTTTTATTTCGTTAATATTGTTTAAAAAGTAAAAGTCATTCTAAATTTAAATGTTAATGAGTTATAGCTTGCGCGTATGTGCTTTGTTGTATTCATAAGTAGCAGATTTAGCCGCTTTTAATGCATTATCATGGAAATCCCTCATTAACTAAGTGTCAATTTACTAATTTGCGCAATAGTGCAACTTATACAATACTATACGTTACACCGACAGCAACTGCTCGAAAAATACTTTATTTTATAGCTATTGATTCAGCTAAATAGGAATATTTGCTTGCCAAGAGAAGCGTTAAAACAAAAGTTGGATCGCTTCCTATTTTTTCGCTTTTGCGTGAGAAAATAGTGTTTATGCGTGTGAGCGTGAGAAATATGTCAAATGCATGTGTCTCACACTAAATGCGTGAGAGTTGGAAGGTCTGCTGAAAGAAGGAGTTGTTGAACCTGCAAATGAGCCACCAACTGGAACTGTGTTCTATTTACCTCATCATCCAGTTGTGCGTGAATCATCAGAATCCACAAAAACGAGAATAGTTTACGATGCGTCTTCGAAAACAGGATCCCAACCATCCCTAAATGACTGTTTGAACACGGGTCCACCCTTACAGAATCAACTTTTCAAAGTTCTGGTTCGAGGACGTTTCCATCCTGTTGCACTTAATGGTGACATTCGCAAGGCATTTCTTCAAGTACGTATTCGGACAGAACATCGAGATGCAATGAGATTTCACTGGTTGGAAGATAAAGATCCCCAACGTATTTGCACTCTGAGATTCACTCGAGCACTGTTCGGCATGGGACCATCACCATTCCTGTTGGCAGGAGTATTACAATGTCATTTGAATGCGAGTAAAGAGAAGTACCCTAAGCATGCTGAAAAAATAGAGAAAGAGTTGTATGTCGATGACTTAGTAACCGGAGGAACTTCAGTGCATGAAGTGCGTGAGAAGAAGGAAGCCTCAGTTGAAATATTTAAAGAAGCATCATTCCATTTACACAAGTGGCAATCAAATGTCAAAGAGTTAGAACAGAATGAACAATCGGACAGTAGTGATGACACAAGTTTTGCAAAACAACAATTGGGCAACGAATCGAAAGCAGGCAACCTCCTTGGTTTGAAATGGGATAAAGAAGCAGACACAATCGAGGTGACTATTCCTTCTGACGAAGTAGCTCCCACCAAAAGAGGTATACTTGATAAAGTAGCCCGAATCTATGATCCACTTGGCCTCATAGCTCCCACAGTCCTACAAGGTAAGCTTCTGTACAGAGAAGCTTGTGAACAAAAGTGTAAGTGGGACTCAGAATTGCCTGACGAATTGACTAAACGTTGGTGAAAGTGGGAAAACCACCTCCCTCATCAAGTCAAGGCTCCAAGATCTATACCACTTGTCCAACAACCCATTCAGGACATAACACTTCACGCCTTTGATCATGCCAGTGGTCATGGGGTTGGTGAGCGGTGTATGCTGTGGTCACTCAAGAATCTCAAGTAAATCAAGGTCTCATTTGTGCGAAAGCAAGACTCGCGAAGCAAGAGCTTACAATCCCCAGGAAAGAATTGGTCTCGGCGCACATGGCGGTGAATTTACTTGACAATGTACACAGTGCCTTGGAAGGGTTTCCAGTAACATCCCTTGTTGGTTGGTTAGATAGCAGTGTCGCACTACACTAAAAAAAAATTTTATGACAATTTTATGTTACTTCAAAACATCTTTGGTTACATTCGTGCAAAGAATTACGTTAAAGTCAATGTTTTAAAAAAAAGGCATACAAAAGTGTAGCTAGGTGTACAAAAGTGTAGCTAGTCAACTCGCCCCGGTGGCTCATCCAATTTTGGCAAAATTTCCAAACATCACTCCTACTATTAAACCCTAATTGTACTCGCCATTGCATGATTAGGTATACTTATCTTGCTCATTCAACGTAATATATCATTGCTGTGGGAACAAGTATGCATGTATAGTAATTTGATTACAGTGTGACCATAATAAAAAGATTAATCAAAAGATCACGGTAACATCTTTTCAAGACTGTAACCATGCACACTGCAAAAAATGAAAAGTTATTTTAAGAAAGAAAATCTTGTTTTGGGCATGCACCCCTGGGAAAATTTTAAAATCTGGAGTCCCTGAAATGCGATTTCAAGCATTTTGGGGGTGAAATCTTGCAGAATTCCAAAGATTATAAAGTACATCGAAGACATAAATTTTCCCAGACATTTGTAATTTTCTACTCAGAATTAAATAAATTGGAAAGTCACCTTGAGCCGGTGTCTCAGGAATTTTGCCCCCCCCCCTACAATTTTGGGGGGGGCGAAATTCCTATAGAACTCGCACGCCTTTAGGAAATTCGCCCGCCCTTCAGAAACCTCACCTTTTCTTTAGGATTTTCGTCCTCCCTTCAAAATTTTGCACTTCCTAACAATTGCACTGATAATTATTAAATGGCTTTAGTCATTTAAAATCAGTATCAATTCAAAATTGTTAAAAATACAAATTTACAATTACATGTATCGAAAGGGCTTACAGTAGATCAATAGGACTTATCGTACACTTCACAGCACACCATGCATATTTTGCATTTTCGGTGTTAATCCTGATTGTCAAAGAGTAATCACCGTAGTGGTTATTGTAATTATTGGTATTGTCAAGACTTTTTTTTTAACTGATACATGCATAAACTGCAGTATATGTTTTTTCATAATCAAACTGATTAATTTCATTATAAAAAGCACTAAAAGTCTACTTGTCTCTACTGATGCAAGTATTCACAAAATTATTCATTGACATTGTCATTGCCATTGATTGAAAATAATTGAATTGGTTAGGTAATTCTTATATATAGACCTTGTTTGTGGTATTTAGGGCTATACCACCACATCAGCTAAGGCTAAGCTATAAATTTACTATCGTGTTTATAGAAGAAATATGTTTAGTTTCATTGTTATTATTAACAGTAGTCAGTAGCACATTTGCCAAATTTGAACTTGGTTGCTTTCCGCTCAGCATGTTGTTGTTTCCCTATGGTTATGTTGTAAACATTAAAGCACATTATTATAGCATTGACAAACATAATAGAATTGATCGAATTTCAAAATATAAATTAAACAGATGGTCTTAGTATGTACAACGTGTCATACCCATTCAACGCTCAGAAACATTTCATCATATATAAATGTAATGAGCATTATTCAATAGATTAAATATTTTCCAAATGCACGTTTTCTCATCGGAAAATTTATGGCTTATAAGTTGTCATTGCTCATTCATCAGTGAATGTGTGTGTACATGAAACTGTTACAGTTTCAATATTAGTTTGTAAATCTCTGAATGGCAAAACCTGCCAATACTCCAATAATATGTTTCAAAAAAGCTTTAGTTTTGCAGAGTTAAATTTTCAAACATGTGCCTACTAATAAGGTTAAAGTATCATGAAATAATTTGAATAAACCACATCGCATATATGGGGGAGGGGGGCGACCTTTTGAGAGGGGGGCAAATCTCCTGGGGGGCAAAAGTCCTGTGACACCGGTTATTCCCCTTTGTGATGCTGAGGGAGAAAATCCCAATGTGATTTTGATCAGAAATGTGGCATTTAAATCATTCTAGGTTCTATGAGACAGCATTTCTGCATTCTCAAAATTGTGTTGCTTTTTTATATGATACAGAATAAGTCTGAGAAAAATATTCATGCTATGATAATGCATACATGTAAATCTCAACTAAATCTATTCTACTTGGAACCATATCTACAACTGCTTTAATGAGATTTTACAAATCAAGTTCCTCCAGTATATCGTCGTTTTCCTCAGTCGAGACGTAGGTAATCAGTTTCAGCTTCGAGCATGTAACATGTACCCCCCCTGGCTATGCCACTGGTGCTTGTTCGACCGAGCTGGCACCTTTCCTTGTAGCTTTTTCATAGGAATAATGTTACTACAACGTTTTTTAATCTTGTGAAGACATGGTGCTACAACAACAGAAGTAATGCATTATTCTTAATAAATTTCCCTCATGTTTATTAACCCCTATTACACACACTCTATAGTATACAGTGTTGCAAAATAAGTCTATCAATAAGATGTTAAATCGATTAAACATGCTTTGATAAATTTACTTACATGGAATTTTGTTTTTTTGTTTTTCGGTCAGGCTGGAGATTTTCTCAGTTGAAATTGTGACAAAAGATTTTCCATCATCATGGTGTACTCTGCAAATACATGGCTATTTTCGACACAAAGCTTTTGCCATGTCTTCTAGCTCCAAGTTAGTGGGCTCTCTTGGAGGGTTAAGATTATTGCAAGCTGACCTCATATTAGACACGGTGTTCCATATGAGTTTGTCGAACAAATCTTGGACATAGCATTCTTGTCTGATGCATGAACAAAGGTTCTGGTTTGAAAACATGTCTTTTTCCTTCACCAACTGTGTCAAAAGTTGGACTCTCAGATTTAAAGAATACAAAAGGAGATTGGGAAGAGCTTTTGTGTGATGGAGAAGATGTCGATGACTGAGACGGTGAATTTTCTGTAGACATTGATGGCAAACAGGGCATGCGATTCGAGAGGACATTTGTTGACTGTTTCTGTGTCTCGAAGATGTCGACTTCTTGCTAAAAATTATTTACTGTACCCTTAATTTTCAGACCTTCCAACTTTGTGGCATGAAAATGAGTGAGATTGAATTATTTCCTGTAATCTGAGTCATATAGCCCACCGATGGCGGGCTGGCGCCTGCCGTTGGCAGGCATTAAC